AAACGTAGCCAATGTGATTGCTAGTAGATTGCATGTAAAGGACCTATCGGTCTGTGCCATCTATGTCACGGTTCACGAATTCATTGTGTTCTTCGTGTCTCGTGTCTTTGTTGTTATACGTGTGTGGGTGTGTGAGTAGAGGGCGTGGTCAGCCCGTCAACGCTGATCAGCGCGCAGCTGGTTTCACTTTCTGTCACCAGCTGCAGCTCATTCACTTACCTATTTATACTCACTGTTTTGTCTTCTCCTTTGTCAGATCGTTGTTTGGTGTTCTTGTTGTGTGTTCCTGAGTTCTGGTTGACGTCCCGTTCTTGTGCCTTGATTCTCGTTCCTGATTCTGGTCGTGTCTTCGTCTCCGTGTCTGGATTACCACTCAAGTCATCATCTTCACCATCTACCTTCCATCTTCACTCTGTTGGCCATCGACGTCCCTGCGCTACACCCTGTGTCTCTCTCTCCTTGTTCTGACCTATATTATTAATAAACTGAGTTACTTGCATATTGCTTCCTTGCCGTGATTGTCGTGACAGAACGATCTGACCACCTATGGAAGCAGCAGGTGAATCGCCAGCGTCTCTTCAAGACTTTGTCGACAGCAGCATGCAGAGGATGGAGTCCTGCGAGAAGAATATCAACGACACAGGGAGAGCAGTTCAAGCACTAGTAGCGCAGGTGTCCGAGCTCACCCAGCAGTTCCAACTTTTGCGTGTCCCCACTGCGCCCCCCACGCCGCCTGTTCCCCTCACACCACCAGCGAATCCTTCCCAGACGGAGCCTCGACTACCTGTGCCCGAATTATATTCAGGTGAGCCCAGTTTCTGCAGGGCGTTTCTCACTCGGTGTTCCATGCACTTTGCACTTCAACCCAGAACCTTCAGTACTGAACAGTTGAAGGTAGCGTTTGTCCTGACGCTGTTATCTGGGAAGGCGGCACTATGGGGGACGGCGGTGTGGGAGAACCAGGATCCATGCTGTTCTTCGTTCCAGACACTCGCCGCTGAAATGAGGCGAGTTTTTGATCGGGCGGTGGCCGGGAGAGAAGCGGCTAGAATTCTTGCTGATTTACGTCAAGGAGAGAGGTCCGTATCCGATTTCTCCATCGAATTCAGGACATTAGCGGCTGAGTGTCACTGGAACGAAGAGGCGCAGTGGGACATGTTCCTGCATGGGCTGGCTGACCGCATCCAGAGAGAGATTTACACGCTGGAGCTACCCACATCTCTCAACGGACTTATTGATCTGGCGTTAAGAGTTGACGCTCGTGTGACCAGAGCTGAGAGGAGAGTTCTGCCCAGTCGGTTGTCCAGTGCTGCTGAGGGTCAGCGTTTCAGCGGAGCGGATGCGGTCAGCGCCACTTACGATCATGAGCCCATGCAGGTAGGGCGAGCTCGGCTTTCCCGGGAGGAGAAGGAGAGGCGGAGATCCCAAGGACTATGCCTTTACTGTGGAGGGACTGGTCATCGTGCTTACAGCTGCCCGGTAAAAGGCCAAGCCCGATAGTAACTATGAGGCTACTATCGGGTGGGATCTCCGCCGAGAAGACCTCATCAACATCTACGCTCCTCCCGGTAAGACTTAGATGGTCAACTCACACCCAGGACTGTCGTGCACTGGTGGACTCGGGAGCCGAAGGTAATTTTATGGATTATTCGTTTACACTTAAGTTTCATGTTCCCATCAAACCCCTCACACACAAGATATCAGTTAATGCACTCAACGGTCAGGATCTCCCCACTATCGAATTCACCACTGAGATCATCACTCTCATCACTTCTGGAAATCACACGGAAAGACTGTCATTTTACATCATGGACTCACCCCTGGCACCTATCGTTCTCGGACACCCGTGGCTCGTTCAACACAACCCCCGTGTGGATTGGCAGCAGTGCACTGTCGTGTCATGGAGCAGTCAATGTCATGAGTCTTGTCTTGTGTCTGCCTGTTCGTCTGTTTCTGTTCCTATGTTTCAGGAGGAGACAGTGGATTTGTCAAACGTGCCCGCAGAGTACCAAGACCTGAAGGAAGTGTTCAGTAAGTCTCGTGCTGCTTCTCTCCCTCCGCATCGTCCCTATGACTGTGCAATAGATTTATTGCCAGGTAAGTCTCCGCCTAAAGGCAAGTTATATTCGCTTTCTGTTCCAGAAAGGCAGGCTATGGAGAAATATATTTCTGATTCTCTAGCAGCCGAATTCATCCGCCCTTCCTCTTCTCCAGCGGGGGCGGGGTTCTTTTTTGTGGGGAAGAAGGACGGATCTCTGCGACCTTGTATTGATTACCGAGGGTTGAACAGCATCACGGTAAAGAATACTTATCCTTTGCCGTTGATGTCTTCAGCTTTCGAGAGGTTGCAGGGAGCGTCGGTCTTCACAAAGTTGGACTTACGTATTGCTTATCATTTGGTCCGCATCAGGAAGGGGGATGAATGGAAAACCGCTTTTAACACCCCCAGGGGGCACTTTGAATATTTGGTTATGCCGTTCGGGCTGTCCAACTCCCCAGCGGTTTTCCAGGCACTGGTCAATGACGTGCTGCGAGATATGGTCGATCAGTTCATATATGTTTACCTGGATGACATATTGATATTTTCTTCTTCTCTCCAGGAACATGTGCAGCATGTCAGACGAGTGCTTCAGAGGATGCTAGAGAATGGGCTTTTTGTTAAAGCGGAGAAATGCGCTTTTCATGCACAGTCTGTCCCTTTTCTAGGGTACATCGTTTCGTCTGAGGGAGTACGCATGGATCCTGAGAAGGTTAAGGCTGTGGTAGAATGGCCAAGTCCAGATTCCCGTAAGGCCCTACAGAGGTTTCTGGGGTTCGCTAACTTTTACCGGCGTTTCATTCGCAATTTCAGCCAACTAGCCGCGCCTCTGACCGCCTTGACCTCCCCCCGAACTCCGTTCAGGTGGTCAGACGCAGTCCAGACTGCGTTTGCCAAACTCAAAGGCCGCTTTGTTTCAGCCCCAATCCTTGTTACCCCTGATTCTTCACGGCAGTTCGTGGTGGAGGTCGATGCGTCAGAGGTGGGGGTAGGTGCAGTGTTATCCCAGCGTTCTCCCTTAGACGACAGGATGCACCAATGCGCGTTTTTGTCTCATCGTTTATCTCCTGCTGAACGTAACTATGACATTGGTAACAGAGAGTTGTTGGCAGTCAAGCTAGCATTGGAGGAATGGCGTCATTGGTTGGAAGGGTCGGGGATACCTTTCATTGTCTGGACTGATCACAAGAATCTGGAATACATTCAAACTGCCAAAAGATTGAACTCCAGGCAGGCTCGGTGGGCACTTTTTTTCGGTCGTTTTGATTTTTCTCTCTCGTTCCGCCCGGGTTCCAAAAATATAAAACCCGATTCTTTGTCGCGCATTTTTGACCGTTCCGAACGCCCGTCTACTCCCGAGTGCATTTTACCCGAGACCCTATTTGTCTCCACACTCACATGGGAGCTCGAGTCGAAGGTCAGGACGGCCTTAGAAGGGGTAACGCCTCCGCCCGGGTGTCCACCAAACCGCTTATTTGTGCCGGAGGGATTACGGTCCGACGTCGTTCAGTGGGGGCATTGTTCCAATGTGGCTTGTCATCCAGGAGTCAGTCGTACTAAGTTTTTAGTCAAGCAACGATTCTGGTGGCCACTTATGGCTCGTGACATTCACAGTTTTGTTTTGGCTTGCTCAGTTTGTGCCACTGGTAAGACTTCCAATCGACCCCCTGATGGGTTACTTCAACCGCTGCCGGTCCCTTCGAGACCCTGGTCCCATATATCGCTAGATTTTATTACCGCCCTCCCACCCTCCCAGGGTAATACAGTCGTTTTGACCGTGGTGGACCGGTTCTCGAAGGCGGCCCATTTTATTCCCTTGCCCAAATTACCCTCAGCCAAGGAGACAGCGTTGACCGTCGTAAACCACGTCTTTCGCTTACATGGCCTCCCGATAGACGTGGTTTCCGACAGAGGACCCCAATTTGTGTCCAAATTTTGGCGAGAGTTTTGTAAGTTACTGGGGGCGACTGTCAGTCTGTCCTCAGGGTTTCACCCCCAGAGCAATGGTCAAACTGAGAGAGCCAACCAAGATTTGGAAAGAACGTTGCGATGTTTGGTTTCCAAGAATCCTTCTTCGTGGAGTCAGCAACTGTCAATGGTGGAGTACGCCCACAATACGTTACCAGTGTCATCCATGGGCCTATCTCCGTTTGAGTGTAGTGTAGGTTACCAGCCACCAATTTTTCCTAGTCTGGAGTCCGAAGTCGCGGTCCCCTCCGCCCACGCCTTCGTCCAGAGGTGTCACCGCACTTGGACTAGAGCCCGCGAGACTCTACTCCAAGTGAGGGCACGCACCAAGGCCAAAGCCGATCGCCACCGGCGGAGGCCTCCCGTATACGTCGTCGGTTCCAAAGTGTGGCTTTCAACCAAGAACATTCCTCTCCGATCCGTCTCGAATAAACTCGCTCCCAAATTTATTGGCCCATTTGCTGTCACCAAGATCGTTAGCCCGGTGGCAGTCCGCCTCAAACTTCCTCCTGCGTACAGGAGAATTCATCCCGTGTTCCATGTATCCAAAATCAAGCCTGTGTTTTATTCTCACATTAATCCGCCAGTCCCGGGTTCCCCCACCGCCGCGACTCGTAGATGGGGAACCATCTTATTCGGTCAATCGTATTCTGGACTCTAGACGGAGGGGACGCGGAGTCCAGTACTTGGTGGACTGGGAAGCTTACGGTCCGGAGGAGAGAAGTTGGGTACCTGCTAGAGACATTCTGGATCACTCTCTTATTGATGATTACAATCACCAGGTAAGAGAGTCTGGGGACGCCAGGAGGCGTTCCTAGGAGGGAGGGTACTGTCACGGTTCACGAATTCATTGTGTTCTTCGTGTCTCGTGTCTTTGTTGTTATACGTGTGTGGGTGTGTGAGTAGAGGGCGTGGTCAGCCCGTCAACGCTGATCAGCGCGCAGCTGGTTTCACTTTCTGTCACCAGCTGCAGCTCATTCACTTACCTATTTATACTCACTGTTTTGTCTTCTCCTTTGTCAGATCGTTGTTTGGTGTTCTTGTTGTGTGTTCCTGAGTTCTGGTTGACGTCCCGTTCTTGTGCCTTGATTCTCGTTCCTGATTCTGGTCGTGTCTTCGTCTCCGTGTCTGGATTACCACTCAAGTCATCATCTTCACCATCTACCTTCCATCTTCACTCTGTTGGCCATCGACGTCCCTGCGCTACACCCTGTGTCTCTCCTTGTTCTGACCTATATTATTAATAAACTGAGTTACTTGCATATTGCTTCCTTGCCGTGATTGTCGTGACAATCTACCGCTTTATGACTGAACAAGATACATCTTCTTTCTCTCACAGTAACTACCAAGAGAACTGAAGGGGGAAAGAGCCCACTTAACCACATTAGACTAATGACACCATGAACACAAATGGACTCATATTAAAACCAAAGCCTAATGAGGCATAAAGCAACATTCGTGCTTGGATAAAGAAGAAGAGGATGAATGAACAGTGTGAGTGTGTTTGTGTCTCTGAGATCAGATGATTGGGAGTTTGATTAAAGTGGTAGGAGGGATTCTGGCTGGCTGAGCAGACTGAAGGAATTACAGAGACAGTGATCTGAAGAAAGAGCTTCAGGACATGCCTACTGTGTGCAGTGAAGAGCCAATCAGTGGTAGACAACCCTAGCTATGCTGGTGGGAAACTGGTAGAGCTAGTTAACCATGCTCATCAATTTGACTTGAAACAGTTGACCAGCTCAACCACCCTTAAGTGATACTTAACCTAAAAATGAAGAATTCTGTCATAATTTACTCACCTTTGTTCCAAAGCCATACGATTTTTGTTTAACTTCAGAACACAAATGAAGATACTTTTAATATTTGTCCATCCAATTATAAATGTGATAAAGACATTGTGAAAGTAATCCAAATTAATAAAGCGGTTTAATCCAAGTCTTCTAAAGAGAAACAATCGTTTTATATGAACAGATTTCATTTAGAAATCTTTTATTTAAATATAAACATTGATCGATCCACATACATATGCATTCAAGTCCTCCAGGGAAGTCGATTTACGAGATGGAAAGTTGTAATTATGACGTCAGGTTCGTTCACATTACTTGTACCTTTTCTACAATGTACCTTTTCTACAAAAAAATCAAATAAAATCAACAATAGATATTAACTCTACGTTTTTAAAATGATGAATAAATAAAGTGCATCAGGTTTGTTTTTGTTTGTAAATTGACCCGTTATTCTAGTATAATTGTAAAATACTAAAGGTATCCTATACAACTAAGACTAACATTTCACTTATTTTAACACATTTACCAGTAATACATATGCTGGATCTATTGTGTCAGACATGTTTACACACTGACAACTCGGAAACTCGAGAATCCAGAGTTTTCTTCTCATAATTACGACTTTGCAGTGACATTCATGTGAATTCAATGCATGAGTACGATATAAACACAACAATAGAGTTCATCAAATATGTTCAACAGAAGCTCAACCGTGCTTGCTTGACGCGTGAGAAAAATCCCATTGCTTCTTGTGCGTCAAGCAAGCACATTTAAGCTGCAGTTTATAAAGTGATTGTGTCTCTTCAGAAGACTTGGATTAAACCGTTCAAATCATATGGTTTACTTTTGCAAAGAACTTTTTGAAACATTTTCTAGTGTGGAAATTTAATGGATGGACAAAAATGATGAGGGAATATTAAAAAGATTAACAGAAGTCTTATGGGTAAGTAAATGATAACATACTTTTCATTTTTGAGTGAACTATCCCTAAACCACACTCTCATGATAGTTCCCAAGGACTGTATTTTACTTTTTGGTATGAATTTGTATAGGGTTGTGTTTAGTGGTGGGCTTAGGGATGGACCTTCAAGGTGACGTTCTACCTACACATGTCAGATAGTACAAATTCATATGAAATCGCCAACTCGTACAAAACCCAGTGACTTTCTACAACACCTAACATTTCTCCAAGCAAATGAAATCACCATGGAATGACGTACCATGGAGTTCATGGCGAAGTGGTTGTGCTGAGTCTGTAGCTCCACAGCATGCTGGTAGCTCACACCGATCTCTGTGTGGCTCTGAAGAAACAACTCCTTATTGTGACTGATCCAGTCAAACATCTATAGAGAGATGACAATAGAAAGCCATTACATGTAATCCTGGACCATTGCTTTATGAAGTTTACACATCACTATGGTTGGGGGTTACATATTAAACAGACAGCACACATAATTAATCAAACACACAGACTAGCGTACGACAGGCTCAGGACAGATAACAGAATGACAAATGTAAAAATGTCAACCGTTTAGTTTTAGCAGACGATAAGATATCCATTCATATAAGCATGTTAACATAGGGAGACATCACTGGATTAACAGTGTTTTGTGTTATTCGTTTAGTAAGAAAAAATGATGAATTATTGTGTACAATCAGAGAGGTTTGCTGGGAAGTTTGGTGTTTTGTCATAAATTAAGATAAATCCTCTTGTTGATAAAATGCTAAAACTCAGATATCAGTTGTAGGAGCTTTTAAAGGATTTACACTATCTGGAACATTCGTCTAGCAATATTTTTTTTTTAAATAAATGCCGTTTTGTCAGTGTCAGAGTTTACCATTCCCATCTGTGACATCATATACTGTAGGCTACATACACTTGCAGACAAAAGTATGTGAACCCTTAGGATTTACCATATATATTAGATGTATAAAATAGTCATAAAAAATATTTTTTTCACTTTAAAGATCAGTCCAAATTTTATGACTACATTATTTACAAATTCTGAATGCTTTTTTAAAGGTATCTACATCTCTAACCTGGCTTCTGTAGAAGCTAATTGGAGTCAGGATTGAGTCCAAACAATGAGACGATCAAATCAAATTTTATGGCCAATTGGTTCAGAAATCCACGCTAAATCATATACTGTTGTGACTGTACATGTTTTACACATCAAAGCTTTAGATAAATATGTATCGCATTGATTAATTCATAAACATGCTTTAATTAACAGATGGAAATGCTACATAATGAATAATAAACAAATATGCAAATGCCAAAAGTCATTAAAATTCTGTCCACATGTTTCACCACCATGGCCTTCACTGCTTTCTGAGTGACAAAGAATTTATCCTTCAATACCGAATAACTATCCTAAATAAATATTTAATTAGAACTGCAAATGAATTGCACTTGTAATCAAGATAAGAGCTGAGAGACAGGATAATTGATAATCTAGTTGACTGCCTGCATTCCTATTATATTAAATGGATGGTTTAATCGAATAGGGCTGGGCTCGTTGTAAGAGAAGTTGGACAGAGGTATTAATTAGCAGAATGACTGCTTGCTCTTGGCCTTTTGACACAAGGAGGCCTGGCACAATGACAGACAAATGATTTTCAATCATGTTCACCCGCGACGAGTGAAAGGTTGTGTGTGCAGTAGCTAAAAATAAACGCCTGCGCTCTGAACGAAACAAACTCATCAGAACAAAGCACTTATGTGTACTCAGTATCAGACGGGCCCATGTGAGCGGCCCTCTGGCCCTTTAACTTGTGTCTGAACAATTATCTCAAACTTACTGTTATCATGAAGTGGGGTGAAGTTAGTGTAAAGTCAAATCTTAACCCTATAAAGCCTGTACTTTATTTGATACACAAATTTCTAAGGCTTCTAAATTATCAACATGATCCAAACTTTACTGGAAAACCTGTTGCACACAATCTACTACAAGCCTTCTGTCATCTGATTGATTGTTCATTCATTCTCATGTTACGCAGGTCGTTTGAGCTTCAGCAAGAACCAATGAGGTTCATTCTCGTGTTACGCAGCACGTTTGAGCTTCTGCAAGAACCAATGAGGTTCATTCTCGTGTTACGCAGCACGTTTGAGCTTCTGCAAGAACCAATGAGGTTCATTCTCGTGTTACGCAGCACGTTTGAGCTTCAGCAAGAACCAATGAGGTTCATTCTCATGTTACGCATCACGTTTGAGCTTCTGCAAGAACCAATGAGGTTCATTCTTGTGTTACACATCACGTTTGAGCTTCAGCAAGAACCAATGAGGTTCATTCTCGTGTTACACAGCTCGTTTGAGCTTCTGCAAGAACCAATGAGGTTCATTCTTGTGTTACACATCACGTTTGAGCTTCAGCAAGAACCAATGAGGTTCATTCTCGTGTTACACAGCTCGTTTGAGCTTCTGCAAGAACCAATGAGGTTCATTCTTGTGTTACACATCACGTTTGAGCTTCAGCAAGAACCAATGAGGTTCATTCTCGTGTTACGCATCACGTTTGAGCTTCAGCAAGAACCAATGAGGTTCATTCTTGTGTTACGCATCACGTTTGAGCTTCAGCAAGAACCAATGAGGTTCATTCTTGTGTTACGCATCACGTTTGAGCTTCAGCAAGAACCAATGAGGTTCATTCTCGTGTTACGCATCACGTTTGAGCTTCAGCAAGAACCAATGAGGTTCATTCTTGTGTTACGCAGCACGTTTGAGCTTCAGCAAGAACCAATGAGGTTCATTCTTGTGTTACGCAGCACGTTTGAGCTTCAGCAAGAACCAATGAGGTTCATTCTCGTGTTACGCAGCACGTTTGAGCTTCAGCAAGAACCAATGAGGTTCATTCTTGTGTTACGCAGCACGTTTGAGCTTCAGCAAGAACCAATGAGGTTTGTTCTCGCGTGTCAGGAAGACACTGCTTCTGTTTATGTTCGCTGATCAACGTTAATATGCATAAAATTTTGAATTTAATCTATTCATCATAAGCGATTGTATCTCTTCAGAAAATGTGGGGTTTCTCTCTATTCATATTAATTATTTTTATGATCTCTTTATGAACTTTTTGAAGCGTCAAAGTGGTATAGTTGCATGGACTGTCATTTAAGAGACAGTGATCATTTCATTTAAAATAACTGCATTTGTGTTTAGAAGAAAATCTTACGGGATTGGAATGGCATGAGGATGAGTAATTAATGACAATTATTCATTTTTGGGTGAACTATCACTTTAACTAACATTAACAAAGGTTAATATGCTGTAAAAATATATTGCTCATATTTAGTTCATGTTAACTAATGCATTAACATTGTAAAGTGTTACCCATATTTGCAATCTATTTGTGAAAGAGTGGAATAAACCAAAGTTTTGGAAACACTTTTGGAGTAATAGCATACCAATGCAATAGAGTAATAAAGAGTAACAGCATATATCAGTGTATTTTTTCCAAAAGTAAATCTTCCAAATTTCTCCAGCTTACGCACACACACATGCAATAAACAGCCATAATAATTGTCTCAATTCACACCAGGTTAAACCCGTGTTCACTTACCTTCTCTGCATCCTGTTCAAACAGTCGGAGCTGAAAACACTGATCCAGCTTCAGTTTTCTTAGGTGCCACATCTGGTGCAGGTGCTGTCTGGTGCTGTGGAGTTTATCCAGCAGACTGGCAATCTTCGGAACCACACTCTGGAAGTCGGCACTTCCAGAAATACAGTTCCTCCCTGAGAAGCCATCACTGGAGCGGATACACTGCAACAGTCTTTGACCTTCGTGGTCCAGCTCTTCCACAGGAGCCTTCATCACCTTCTTCTTCAGCTGAGTGTGCTCATCGATGAGTCTCCGAGATCCCTCCACGTCCACCGGGAACTCCTTCTTAGCCAACATCTCCTGCAGATCTTCCAGGCGGGAGAGGAGGTGAACGGCACTGGCCAGGAACTCCTCGAGAGCGACCCGGAGCTCAATCCATTCCTCATGATTATATTCCAGAGATCCCTCAAAGTCGTCCGTTAACTGAGACGGGTCCACTAGTTTGGTCAAACCCTCCACAGACACCATGCTAGTCTGTCAGCGAGAAGGGAGAAACAGACATGTCAGTTTAAGGTGAAAGTAACTTGTTGGATGTGAGCCATGAATGAATTATAACATGGAAACATAAAGTTTGACATTTTAACAGCTAAATCAATACACCAAACCCTGTGCAGACAAGCAGGGGATGATACTTTAGAGTCTGGACAGCTACTCAATAATTGCATTTTTACCTCAAAGGTGAACTTGGCACTGCCAAAGTTGGTCTTCTGTTTCTGCCAGAAGTTGTCTGGTTTGATGATGAGAGCGACGCAGATCTCAGCTGGAAACGCTTCTTGCAGGGTCTTCAGTAACGGCTTTATCAGTTCCCACTTAGAACCGCGCATATCAATAATCACAGTGAAACCTCTCTTACACACGTCCTCACTGAAACAGACAGACAAGGAGAGATTCATAGAAGCATACCAGGAGGAGTGTAACAATTAATAAGTAAATATTAGTTTACTAGACTACTAAATATAATAATACTAACAATACTGTTTGAAACATTGTTCTTTGACGTTGTGAGTGCTACCTAAGTAGTCAGCTAATTAGTACTTAGTAGTCAGCTACTCAACACTAGTAAAACAGTTGCAGACCAGTTCAAATCAGTTGTGTTATTGTTATTGAAAAAAGAAAAAATTATGCTTCATCATTGATGTCATTTTAGAATTACCGTAATTAGTCCCTGAATAATAAAACCAACTGGTAACATTACTAGTTGAATGTTGTAATGTCATATAAAAATAACCAAAATTGCAGCAGCTCCAAGAGATAAATATAGTTAGTTAGGTATTTGGATGCATTATTAACTATATTTTGATAAAGTTGTAATATTATTATAATATATAAAGATGCTGTAAATTTCCCTCACAGCTTTGTTTTCATTAGTATACTGTAGTCTCTAAATTGTTAATATATTAATAGGCTGCATACAAGCAGTGAGTTCTTCATTTATTGTCACCGTAATTAACACAATTATTAATTTTTAATTAGCTCATAGTAAAGGAATTGTTAATTAATTATTAGGAGTAAATAGTTCTCACTTTAGATTGGGTCACGGAAAATGGGAAAATGTCATTAAATAAGTGCTTTAAAATAACCTTCATAAGACATTCATTTTCTGTTTAATCAAAATTCAGTTTTCCTTAAAAAAAATGTTTTAAGGAACTATTAATACTATTGCAATTAATGTATAATAAAGGTTGGTTTAAAGCACTTAATTAATGACATTTTCCAAGACCTAATCTAAAGTGAGAACTATTTAGAGCTAATAAATTGTTAACAAAGCATAAAAAAAACATTATCTAACTCTTTAAATATGAGCTACTGTAATAAAACAATTATAATTTCGTTAATTACAGTGACAATGAATGAATAACTCACTATTTTATATAGCCTATTAATATATTAACAATGTAGAGACTACAATATACGAACAATGGATAAACAAATAGTTTGCCATTTATTTGTAAGTACTTTATCATTGTATACTTATTATAAAGTATTACCAATAAAATATACAAAACGAAAAATAGCTAAAATGATTTATTGAAATATACTCACATCTTCTTACAATGCACTTATTGTGTTCATGCTGTATTGCAAAACACTTTTGTTGCTATTGAGGTGGGATACGGGGAAGGTTAGGACAGGTTTGGTGGTATGGGTCGGTTTAAGGTGTAAGGGAACATATACATCAGGTACTGTACCTTTCACACATAATCTGTGGAAGTGATCAAAAATGATCATGACAACTTGTTGAAAATATTTTTTCTTCTATGCATTTCTTATACAGTACAATATACTTTGAGTGGACTACTTTTGATGAGTATTCCTGTCTGACTCATATTAGATGAGTGACTTGACCCAGAGAAAAGAACAAAGAGAGAGAGAGAGAGAGAGAGAGAGAGAGAGAGAGAGAGAGAGAGAGAGAGAGAGAGAGAGAGAGAGAGAGAGAGAGAGAGAGAGAGAGAGGGGTGAGTGTGTGTCCTTCGAACCAGAATATGCTGCACATTTTGCCTCATTATTGCATTTAAGCCACTTTGGTTCTTGAATTTCCATATAAATGATATCACTCAGAATCTCTTCTAGCAAATATCAGCTTGGAACAGAACCGGGACATTTGTTTAGGCACTTTTTAAAGAGTTCCTGGATGATTGTTCTCATCATGTTAAGCGGAAACAGCAGAGCTTCTATTTTTGGCTCATGCTTTTGAGGTAGCGCGCAGAGATTGGAAGATAAAAATAACCCTCCAGTGATTCAGTGATGGTAAAATTAACAAAACAGACTTCCGTAAGCCTCAAAGAGGGAAATAAAGATGACAGAACGTCAGCACAAACGCTGTGTGATTAGGATCCACATAATGGCACATATAAGCTTCTCTCATTTCCTGACATTCTAAGGTCTCAGTGGGAAACTTGTCAAAAACAACAGCCGCAAATTCTAACACTTTACTCCTGCGTTGGGACGAACTACCCTGTCGACTTTGTGTTGAGTAATTCAATAGCTTAACATAAGTAATTCACCTACTCTGGAGTAGGCGCTAAATTAGTTCTTCCAAAAGAGTTCCTAGAACTAAAATCATTCCCAGTTCCTGCGGTGCGAACACGCCAAAAAGCGAGTACTTCCAGTTCTATCAGAAAGACTCGGGAGAATAACTACCATAACAATTATACATTTATTAACAGCCCAGCAAGCAATATTATGATATAAAGTTCTTTGGCGTAGCCCCCGTCCGTAGCTCGCAATCCGAGGGTATGGACTCTGCATTTCCTGCCTGAAGACGAAGGCAGGGGCGCAGCCGACCCCCTGGGACTCTGAGAGGTATGGGAAGGGACCATCCTGGTGGTGGTGGGGAGGATGGAGGGGAATGAAAGGGGATCTTTTATACTACAAGTATTAGAACATGATTGGATAGATGAGAAGATAATAAGTGACGTAACAATTGAGTCTTCCCGGCAGAACTTACGCTAAAGCTTTCATTTCTAGGAACTATGAAAAGGTTCGTCCGGAGCGAAAGCCCCTTAAGTTGGGGAACAAATTCTTAATTCTATGATATCTATTTTTTCATCTGCATGTCATGTGTGTCATGACATGCGTAGCTTCACCGCCATTCATAAATTCTTTCTAAACACTTCTCATGGGACAGTAAATTGTCCATCAAATGCACACTTCAGAATCTAAGAAGTAGTAGGTCATGCATTTTTCACCTACTGTTTTTCGAATACTATGTACGGATACTACTCGGACTCTGCTGGCATATTATTTTCACCCATTATAGTGGGAAAATATTTGATTGTAGATGCGGCACGTTTTATTTTTCCAATATTATATTAAGTCAATTGACTAGTAGCTCTGTCTTTTTATAATCAAGAAAATCCCTTTTTACTCACATTTGGTGTTCATTTCGAATCCAGTTTAGCCACCAATAAACCCGTTGTTCCAAACCCTTTTGTTTCATACAGAACTTGCACAGCACAAGATGGCATTTATAATACTTCTATGATGCTTTCTGTCCTTTTGGGGCTTCACAGCTCCTATCGAAATTATGCTTTCATTGTATATGGAAAAGAGCCACACTCTTCAAAACATTTCCTTTTGTACTTCACAGAAGAAAGTCAAGTCATACAGGTTTGGAATGACATGAGAGTGAGTAAATGATGATAGAATACTAATTTTAATGTGAACACGAGGGCAGACAAGAATCAAAAGAGCGTGTCGCTAACACTATATAATGTGCCAGTGCGGGAAGCACAGGGCATGAATCATAGCCTGAAGGCAGGTTTGCACGCTGACTCAATAACATTGATTTCCCCTCTTCACCAAACCAGCAGCCTGCACTGCTTTAGACTGATCCGACACTGATGATGCAAGCACTGCTCCCGAGTGGAAATCGAACTGGGCCGGGTTCTGTGTCTAGTGTGATATTTATACATCCATAATGGATGTGGATGACTTGTTCTTCTTGCTAACGAGGATATCTTTTGGTTGACAAAATGGAAAGCACAGTTAATACAAAGCGTGGAGGAACAACGCTTTCATTCAGACCCTCCTATACTAAACACACACATTTCAGAGACTTAACCACATCACATCATGAAACAGGGTAACTGATAGCTCTCAGTGAACCAGCATTGCACTTTTCATTTCATCTGCATGAAGTTTAAAGCTGTTTCGCGTTAAAGAGCAGCTGAAGGGGACAGAAGCTCAGATGCCTGTGGGCACCGACACATCAAAACACTATGAGCTCTGATGATGAATCATGGCTTGTGGGAAAGGCTTAAAGAGACAGGGGTCTCCATCCGTTCCTTTTTCTTTTTTCAGTTTCTTTCTCTCTTTCTCCTAATTCAACATTTAATAAGTCCATCTTTGTTCAGCTTAGCTCACAGACTTTGATGCTGACATCTGAGGGCAGTGACAGGATTGATCAGTGGCCCAGTCAGGTCAACTGTATTCATAACACCAGCCCTGAAACACACGTGTGTGTGTGTGTTTCAGGGCTGGTGTCCATCACATAAAACTTTCTGCATTTTTTCATTTTCCGAAAAACTCATTCTGTATGATTTATAAGCTTGTGTACCCATGGGGACCTCAATTTAGGTCCCCACAGTGACACGGGTCCCCATGAGTCTGTGTGCATTCAGGTTTAAGTCTCCACCGGGAAAGAAAAACATGTACACACACACACACACACACACACACACACACACACACAGACAACATACACAATACCAGACCTGGCAATTTAATGCAAAGGATCCAGTTTATCTATTCTAAATACTCTAACAGGGTATTTAATTTAAGGCGAGACACTACAGGTGAATAGGGTAATTTTTTTAACTAGCAGATATCACCATGAAACTTTCCCAGTTGATTACTACATTAAGATGAGAAAAAAATGTATTACAAGTTTTCTATAATTTAATGTTTAAATATGCAAATTAGGCATTGTCTAATTAAATATGCACAAATTTGCATATATTTCAAAAAATGAAATCTGAGTATTGGATAAAGCCAGGTTCAAAATTATTTTTTCATTGTGTTCACATATTAGATGGGAAAAAAATTACAGAGGGATTTATGGATATCTGCTTTTGTTATCCTGTAAATCAGAATATACTGTCAATAGCCTTAAAAAAATGATTTTTGCCATGTTTTTTGGAATAAAATGTTATATAAATCGGGCTAGGAATAATATATTTACAAATCCCTCTGTAAATGTCTTCATAATATAACTAGGTACAAGACTGGAAAGTTTGGTGTATATAGGTGCTACCGAAGTGGAGATTTCGGACTTTGAGTATGAGAGAAAGGTCATTTTGAGAAAACGGGCTTTAAAGATTTAGCATCAGCCAATGAGATTGCGCATTTGCGCCATTTTACTTTCACGATTGGTTGCTGATAAAAAGGAAATGACCATATTTGGATCCGACAACATTGTACAGGAGAGAGAGAGCTTTCTAACAGTGTGTGTGATGACAGGGTGCAGATCGCGATAGCGGAGCAACGGATGATTTACAACGCCAACTTTTGATGAATTTATGAGAAATCTACAGACGCAAACAGACAAAGTGTAGTAAAATAAAGACCTAAATGTGTATTTCAGACTTTTTTTCACCACAAGTCTGAAAGAAGACATGTTTTTGAAGACAAATATCCCGAAATCTCAAAATTGACCAGTGAAAAAAAAACGATGTTTTTGCCTGCCGTGTCTCGCCTTAATAGTAGTATACACACAACTAACACACTTCTAGAACTCTTAAAATAATAAATTATACATTTTATTAAAAAACAATAATAATAAAAGTGCAAGCACCCCTCCGGTTCTACTGGCACCGCTCCAAGCTGGATTTGAACCGGCATTTCCGTCATGGGATATACTAACAAGGACGCTAAAGACCTACCTCTTGAGGTTTACTCGCACAGCTCTTACTAGCTGGCCTCCGTTACACTCACCCTCTAAACCTCACTCCCATCCGCGTCATGGCATCAAAGCAACCAGCCCTACTCGACCGACTCCAAACGAGATTCGAACTGGCATTTCAGGCATAGGAGGTGGGCACGCTAACAAGGACGCTAAAGTCACTAGTGCGCCTCTTAAGATCAGGGGAGTGAGGTTTACCTACATAGCTCTTGTTAGCTCTTGTCTTGTTAGCACTCACCCCTCTAAAGCTCACTTCAAGTATTTGTACCACTCCAAGCAGGATTCAAACCGGTGTTTCCGGCATGGGAGGTGGGCACGCTAACAAGGACTAGACGCTAAAGACCGCAGCATCTAGCGTCAGTCAGCCACTTTACTAGCTGGCCTCCATTACACATGCTCTACTGCTTGAGCTACAGGAAATTATTTCTTATAACTCTAGTACTGAGGCTGTCTGCCCTGAAAAGCCTGGGCCCGGGGGGTAAAGCAGAGACCTGTTTATACAGGATAAAGACACATTACCATCCATAATGCTCATGTCTGCTCTACAGTTAGTTTATTCTGAGTTGTTAATTCACACATTAATATAAAGCTCACCTGGGCACAGTTGACAGGTATGTTACAAGTCGTCTCAGGTCCTCATGTTTTATTCGGTCATGGTTACTCCTAGCGGGAAAGGTCAGGATGGGGCCACCTCTCTTATCACGACCTCCTGTAAACGACCCAGAGAGAACATGAAGCCTTGCACACATGACACTCACAACAGAGCATGTCTAGTGAGCATCCAACTAAAACAGCATTTCTGGAAATCACAGCTTAAGTTTTAAGGTGTAGAGGTAAAGTATGTTTATGGAGCGCCTAAAGGTAAGGAGCCTGGGAAGTCACATGTAGGAGAAAAGAAAAGACCCACAAATCCGTGGCCGGAGTTTTGCAATTCATCCACTCAGTTTATAAAAAGTACTCACAGATTCTTAAATTGTTCCGTCAGTTTGACAAATCACACCCATGGATTAGTAAACCATACCGATTAATTTTCAATCTGTGCACTTAGATTTGTAAAACGTACCTTTGGTTTTTCAATCTGTACCCACAAATTCAGAAATTTTTGTTTTTGCAATCTGCTCCCACAGTTTCGCAAACTGTACTCACGGATTTGTGGCTCATCTCACATCTCACAAGATTAACTGGCACACAAATCACTGTGCCTCAACAATATTTAGATTTTTGGATCAGTAAATTTAGCCAGCTGTTAATATGTCAACGCGTTATTTTCATCCCTCATTCTGAGACTCTCTCTACAATGATCCATTTTTAAGGGGCGGCTCCTTTAAGCCTTGTCAGTAAAGCCACTGTTATGTGCCACTGTTATGATTGGCTAATGTCACTGCGTAGGAAACGGTATCAACGGCCACTTCTTATTGCACGTGAGTAAGTGTTTTAAACATATTATCCATATAAAACCTTAATTTACAGGCAAAGCATAATAAAATCATGTACTGTTTGTGATGCAGCTGCTGTCAGATCCAATACAACTGACTGCTTCATCTGTTTCTTTACGAACTCTCCATTACACTTTGCCTCATTTACAAAATAATCTGCAGTCAAATGCTCCGATCAATACCATTAAAGGGGACATATGATGCAATTTCTTGTTTTCCTTTTTCTTTAATGCAACTTATGTAGCTGTTTGTGCATGTATAACATCTGCAGAGTTACAAAGCTCTCAAACCCAAAGGGATATTCTTTGTAAAAGTTAAGGATCAGCCACGCCTTCCTAAAACGCTTCATTCAGACACAAAGGCTGATTCTAAAAAGTGGGCCAATTTCATCTTTGCAAGTACAGTCTGATGCTTATGACTCACAGACACAGTAAGTGTGTTTTCATATTTTAAGAATTTGCTACTGACTATTCAAACGCAAGTTTTGAGCAGTATAGAGTAGCGCTTGTTTTTCGTTTCTACAATCATTATTGCTTTTGGAGCTGATGTTCCAAATATGATAAGAGGCGTGACATTTCCATCACATGCTTAAGGTTTCGGGCCAATCACAATGCACTGGATCGCTGGCCAATCAGAGCACACCGCGCTTTTGCAAAAATGCTTTGTATACAATGAGGAGGATGATTTAAGCTCTGAAACGTACTCGGTTACTAACGTAACCTCGGTTCTCTCTAGAGAGGGAACGAGTACTGCGTAATAGCTTACGCTAGGGGAAAAACCTCTTTTCCACGAGATATGGAAGCCAAAAATTATCCTTAATTTTTTATTAATGTAAAACGCTTTGCAGCAGCAAGCAGACACAGGCGAGACAGCTCGCGCGCCTTTTGGCTGCTCTTGCGGCAAATGCAGCAGCCTATCGAGAGAGACTCTGCGTGACGTAATGACCAATGGGGGCAACTCGCGCCCATATCGTCACGTCCCGCCAGAAAGGGCGTGGTCTCACTCTATAAATATGCTCGTTAGGCTGGTACAAGCCGGTTTTCATCGCCGAAGCGAACCAGAGCGTATTCCAAGCACGGCAAGATACTCAGTACTCGTTCCCTCTCTAGAGAGAACCGAGGTTACGTTAGTAACTGAGTACGTTCTCTTACGAGAGTATCTCTCGTACTGCGTAATAGCTTACGCTAGGGGAACACAATGCAACACGCCGTGCGTACAGGGATCCAACACCAAAATCCCAGGGGTGAAGCCCAGGGCTCATATAGTGCATAATCACCATAAGAGTGGAGGAAGAGAGGCTGGAAGCGTCATTCCTTATAAAATAGCACCCAGCGGGGCTTATCATATGACAATAACACGCGCAGCCAGGGTGAAAGCTTTCAGCCTGATCTGGGTGGCCATACGTGTGTCAACACTCATGGGGCTGCAGTAAACTCAGCATCTGGGCCGCACAGCGGGGCAGATAGCACTGAATTTTTAGACCGCCAAAAGCTTAGCTTGTAAGGCGGGTACCTCCAGGTTATAGTATTTTATAAATGTAGACGGCGAGGCCCAGCCCGCGGCCGTACAGATATCTTGCAGGGAAACCCCGCTAGACCATGCCCACGAAGAGGCCACACCTCTCGTGGAGTGCGCTCTGACACCCAAGGGGCACAGCAGGCCCTTTGCAGTGTAAGCGAGCGCAATGGCATCCACTATCCATCTGGATAGGCTCTGTTTTGAGGCGGCAAGTCCCTTGGAGCGCCCGCCAAACAAAACGAAAAGCTGCTCAGTCTGTCTGAAAACAGACGAGCGCGACACATAAGCTCTTAATGCCCTGACGGGGCAAAGGAGACTCGCGTCCTCCTCCTCATTGAGAATCGGAAGGGCGGACAGGGAAATTACCTGGGCCCTAAACGGTGTATTGAGGGATTTCGGCACATACCCGTGCTTAGGTTTGAGAATGACCTTCGAGTCATTAGGCCCAAACTCCATACATGACGCGCTTACTGAAAGCGCCTGCAAGTCCCCTATGCGCTTCACTGAAGCGAGAGCCATGAGAAACACTGTTTTGAACGACAGGTGTTTCATGTCCACCAGCTGGATTGGCTCGAACGGGGCGCCTTTCATGGCCTCCAGGACCGTGGAAAGGTCCCACGTCAGGACTGAAGGGGGCCTGGGAGGGTTTAGCCTCCGAGCTCCCCTAAGGAAACGCACGACTAAGTCGTTCTTCCCCAGCGACTGGCCAGACACCGGTTTTGCAAACGTTGCTATGGCCGCCACATATACTTTGAGCGTGGATGGGGTCCTGCCCTTATCCAGTAGCTCTTGAAGGAAGGAAAGCACTTCCGAAACCCCGCATTCCACAGATGAAAAGCTCTGGGCTTGACACCATGCAGAGAAAACAGACCATTTCGAGGAGTAGAGCCGGCTGGTAGACGGAGCTCTAGCCTGCGCGATCGTGTTTAACACTCCTTCTGGGAGGCTAGCGGGTACCCGTTGATGGCCCATGCGTGCAGGGACCACAGCTCCGGGTGAGGGTGCCAAATCGAGCCCCCCGCCTGAGAGAGGAGGTCTCTCCTCAATGGTACAGGCCATGGGGCAGTGCAGGTCAGCTGCATCAGGGCAGGGAACCACGTCTGGTTTGTCCAGAGCGGAGCTACGAGCAGCACTGGGCATCCGTTTTCCCTGATTCGTTCCAACACCTGAGGCAGGAGCGAGACAGGAGGAAAAGCATATAGGGGGCAGCGGGGCCAAACATGAGCCAGCGCGTCCTTGCTTTTCGAGAAAAACTTCGGGCAATGAGCGTTTTCGTGGGACGCGAATAGGTCCACCTGTGCTCTGCCGAACGTTTTCCACAGCAGCTGGACCGTCTGCGGGTGCAGCGACCACTCCCCTGCTGGAACATTGTTCCTGGACAGTCTGTCTGGTCCCACATTCAGGTGACCAGGCACGTGCGCTGCTCTCAGTGAGAGCAGGTTGTGCTGAGCCCAGACCAGGAGGCGTTCCGTCAGCCTGTGAAGGTTTCGTGACCTGACGCCGCCCTGGCGATTTATGTATGCCACCACTGACATGTTGTCCGACCGGACCAAGACGTGGTGGCCTGTTACCTGGGGACAAAAACGCTGTAGCGCTTTGTCGACTGCTATCATCTCCAAGCAGTTTATGTGAAGGAGCTTTTCCCGTTCTGACCACAGGCCAGCTAGCGGTCTGCCCTCGAGCAGCACTCCCCACCCCGAGGTGGAGGCGTCCGTAGACACCACCTTCACACTCGAAGCGGTCCCCAGACTCACACCTGACTGATACCAGTCGGTTATTTTCCAAGGTTCCAGAGCTGAAACACACTGTAGGTCGACCCTGAGGCGAAACAGACCCGCTGTCCATGCCCTGGGTGGAACCCGCGCTTTCAGCCACATCTGCAGTGGGCGCATGCGAAGCAAGCCCAACTGGAGTACAGAGGCCGCTGAGGCCATCAGCCCCAGCATTTTCTGAAACCTTTTGAGTGGAACTATCGAGCCGTGGCGGAAGGATTTCGCGACGCGCTGAATATTTAGTCCACGCTCTGGTGACAGGCGTGCCGTCATGGATAGCGAGTCTAACACTGTTCCCAGAAAGGAAATTTTCTGACTGGGAGACAGTGAGCTCTTCGCCCAATTGACTGTGAGGCCCAGCTCCTCGAGGTGCTCGAGTAATGCGGCCCTGTGCTCTATGAGCTCCGATCGTGATCGAGCTAGAATCAGCCAATCGTCCAAGTAGTTCAGGACTCGCATGCCCTGAAGTCTCAGGGGTGCGAGCGCCGCGTCCATGCACTTCGTGAATGTACGAGGTGCTTGGGACAGGCCGAACGGCAGGACTGTGTATTGATATGCCTGGCCCTCGAAAGCGAATCTCAAGAATCGCCTGTGATGGGACGCTATTTGTATTTGGAAATAGGCGTCTTTCAGATCTATTGACATAAACCAGTCCCCGTGGCGCACTTGCGCGAGGATTTTCCTGGTCGTAAGCATTCTGAACTGGCGTTTCACTAGCGCTCTGTTCAGCTGTCGCAGATCTAAAATGGGTCTGAGACCCCCATCCTTTTTCGGTACCAGAAAATATCTGCTGTATAAGCCCCCTTCGCTCTGAGCCTGAGATAAAGGTTATATAGCCCCTTTGCTCAGTAGTTTCGCTATCTCGAATTTCGAATATCATGCTATTACACTTACAACTCCCATGAAGATCCATATTGTAGTTATTTATCGCCCCCCAGGTCAACTGGGAAGCTTTGTAGAAGAGCTGGATGTGTTGCTGTCCT